TATCTATCTATCTATCTATCTATCTATCTATCTATCTATCTATCTATCTATCTATCTATCTATCTATCTCATTCACTGAGATAAGTTCGTTTTGTGGTTGAACCCATAAAGATTCCTGAGAGTAAGTCAAGAATCGCTTTAGTCTTCCTTCGTTGACAGTATTGTGCGTACAGGAAGCATTCAACTATCCCAATCACCACAGTATAGAAGAACCAAGGTAAACTTGTGAAGGGGTAAAAATCGGTGCAAATTCGAAGTTTGGTTGACTGTATGTTTTAGCTGGGGAGGGGAACCAAGTGGTAAATCTGCGTGGGAGAATCTTACTAGATAAAGCCTGAAGTACAGGTGGGTGTATAGTAGTTTTCATTGAATATCCTAGTTGGACAGTAGGTAATACACTTTGTAAGGAGGACATGGAAGAATGTGTGCTATTAAATGATCTTTTGGAGCATTTTTTCGCTGGTAGTCAAACGTTCGTCCACAACGACATACGTCAAAATGAACTGGCGTGTGGAACAGCTTTGATGAATCTGCAGGAGAATAGCGAAAGGTAACATATTGAGCAACAGAAAGATGGTAGTGGCTTTCTTTAGTGGTAACTTGCATACTTCACGACGGTACCTACGGACAGGTATCGTTCTTTGTTGCAGATGAATGGCTTTTCAGGCAAAAACCCACCATTTCCTTCAGACAGTGCGGCTGGTCGTCTTTGACCGGTGAACCATTCACAGTTAACCATCGAAGTGGACTCTTTCCTACTCCTGATTTCGGAGCGCGCACCGTAGTGAATAGTTCAGGCCGTAGATTCAATATCCTACGGCTTCCGGGTTCCGCTGTCTGCTGCACATTGTCCAAGATAAACTGTTCGCACTGTTCAAAATTCACGGGCTCACAGTTGGAATAATTATTGGGACCACTAACTACATGACCCCAATGTTATATGCGACAGCTATCCTACCAATGTTCTAGCATTTAGAATTGTTAAGAACAATGGTGTCCAAGAAGGGTGGATTCGTAATAAAACAGAGTTGATAAATCACTCACTGCTGAAAGGCTTTGAGAACATAGCGCTTCACCCTGGTGGGTAGCATTCCATGACGAATATACTTTACTGAACAGGAAACACGTCCTACGTCATTTCACCAACGTTTAAATAAATTAACAAGCGAAGTTCGTCGTTTTTCAATGCGGTGTTCCATCTATAGATCGAATGTCCTTAATGTAGTATATTTAGTCAATTTTGCAAATAAGATGAAATTGTTTTAGTGGACTATTCCGGGTTTATGGGAGATAATCTACATATTAGACACTTTGAGGCATTTGACGATAGCCCACGCCCAATGTTCATCGCTTTTCATGGGTCGCATATGCTTCCGAGGTAAATCTGAGAGTTTCGTCCAGGCATTTTAATCGTTCATGGCAATCTGGTGCCGTAACACATGATATAGTAGACTCGGCATCTTTCAAAATCAGGCATACAAGCCAATCACATGAGGTTGGTAAGACAGCCGTTGAGTGAAGAGCCTCTGTGAACCACCCACCCACTCACCCAACGCAGCCAATAGCAGGTAATGTGTGCAGAACAAGCAACAACAATAACAACAACGAGCACGTACCAGACCATTCGTCCATTGCGCCCTCGGTTAGCTGAGTGGAGGGTTTCGTATGTCCGGACAATCGACCGGCATATATTGAGCTTAATAGAGCACTGTTAATGAGACACGGAGCACGATCATCCTCATCCTCAGTTGTTGATGCCGTGGTTGCATTTTCTGTTCCGGGCTGGGTTGGTGCGGGTGGGGCCGGGGTAGTTGTGCTGACAGTATCTGTTTTCGAACGGGCTGGCTTGTTTCGTTTGTCCAAAAAGGACAACTTCATGCCGAGGAAGCGTTTACCAGTCGACTTTTTGTCCGTTCCCTCGGGTGACTGAACGGAAAGTGAATCCGTATCTGGACCGACATTTTCCGTGTCTGACGGTTCCTCTTCTAATTCGATATCCTCGGTACCATGATCCAACCAATACTGGAGACGCAATATGGCCCGCTGACGTTGGTAGATCGGACTGGGTATGAGACCGGCTAGTGTGCCCACGGCACCAGTTAAGCCGTTGTCGTCGTCACTTCTGAACACAGAGCGAAGGGATGGAGTGGAGCAGAAAACATCGATAAACAAAAGAATAAGAACGGAGAAAAAAGATAAGATACGACTATGAACGACATAAAACAGTCATAGTTGCGTCTATGATGCTCAAATCTTGAAAATGGCAATAGAAATACGGTGAACATCGGTTTCAGGTATCGTCACGCCACAATTAGGACGGAAACGAGGTAACATTTGATTCTCTTAGCTCGTTGGTAAGCCTAATGAGAACCTAACTCCGCATAATATTACCTCTCCATAAGACTTGCTCATGATAAATGCGTGTTTAGGGATGCAATCGTAAGCATATTGTCAAAGTGTATTGGGCACCTTGAACGTTTGACCCCGTCCAAAGGGTGCATGATCCGATGAACTGGACACTGGCCCCCAACGGAACGCGGTTTTCACACACTGCCCCGCTACCTTGCGGTTCAGGCTTTGGCTAGCCGAAGGCTTCGGTTGTGGATTCCTCAAGGAAATTCACCTGCCTGGGCCCTGGGCAACCTGGCACTATTTGGCCAGTGCAACCCATGGAATGTTTTACTTTTTTGTAAAGATTATTGTACCATGATTTGTTTGGCACACAATCTATATATATACTGCTGTCATAGTCCATTTTTGGGATGCATATCAAGTGCTACGCGCGATAAACCAGCCCGTACCTAACTGAGTGTGGTGCAGTGCGATCAGACCCGAATCCCATATTTACAACTCCGTACAGAAACTTCGCAGGTTATCTTTTCAACTTCAAAGACTTAGGCAGTTCAACGCCAAACAAAAAATTATTTCGCTTTTTGTTTATCCCCGTTCTTTTTTATTATTCCCCTGTAGCTTTTGCTGGTCTACTAAAGGACTGCAAAATTCTTCGTCGAGGTTTGTCGATCATCAGTCGTGTGTCTTTTATACCCGTTGATGCGCTGTCTAAAAAATTGTGTGAACTTCACTTGTCCACATGTGAAACATTTGCACAGAAAACCCTCTCTGACCCCAATCATCCTTTACATGGCGATCTATCCAAATGCTGCTCTCATTCATCCACGCGCTCTACAGATCGATTGTCACCCCTCGCCTCAACCTCTACAGAAATTCCTCTGTTCCCTATCTCGCCAGAATCCTTTTAAACTGACATGTCGTCTCTTCTCAATTTCTAAACAACCTTGGAGGTTAGATGTTTTACTCATTATTTTCCTTCTTTTGATGAGATGTGTAATTTTCGACTGAAAAGCGGACATCTGTTCACGCAAAAGTCTATACTAATACAAAATACAAATCGTCACGACAGCAAACTAGTCCGCAAGGCCAGGGCGCGGTAGTTACCGACCAAGCAGCATTAAGATGATGTTCGCAGTTACTTATGAAGCATACAACCCAGGACTCTGGGAATTAGCCAAACTGACTAATGCAAACCCGCTTCCTGCAGTTCTCTTTGTCAAAAAAAGGGGGGGGAGAACATTTTGCCCATTACCCTCCCTCCTGACGATGGTATACCGTTTTATTTCATTGTAAATTGCCACCTGCAACCCCAATTCTTATAGCATGATTTTTTTATACGGTCAAGTAACAGCCGAGATGTATTGAGATTTTCCAGTGCATAAATCATGTGACGTTGCGATATCGGATTGTCTTCTCAATTAAATAACGTCAAAGATTAGCTTTAGTCTCCTTAGATAAGAAATCTCCCTTCGAAAGTTATTTTATTCAGACAATCAATTAATCAATCACGTCTCCGCGCTTAGAGAGAGAAGTTGTCTTAGTTTGGACTGTTTGTGTGAGTCATGTGAACAGCTACGACTGGCACTAAGCATATGAATTAGGCAATATTTTACTCCACGTGTCAAATGATATGCAATGCAGCAATTTAAAACCTGAAGTTTGAATAGTCAAAAATCTCCTACATCTGTGCACGTGTAGAGGGGGAAGAGAACACAAGGATCAGGATCAAGAGGTCTCGTTATCACAAACCGATAAGCTTGCCACCAGTTCGGATCGTTTCGTCCGGTCACATGTACCAAATCTCCCTTGATGAATGGGAGTCCCAGTTCCTGACAGGCCAGATAGCGATCCTCTTCCGGCTCGTAGGTGAACAGTGCACGCAGATGAATCTGGACAGTATATCGAACGGAGTAGAACCGAGAGCGGAATGAAGGGATCATTTATTTGTGTTGTTGTTGTCATAAACAATGGGTATAGAAAGCGGAAAGTGTAACAACGAATCATTTACTGGAACATTCGGATCCCGTACAGTGTGAACAGGCAAGTCAGAAGACAAACACTGCGAGATGCATTTCTTCTCGTATGCTTTCATCGGTCGCGTATGTTAAACAAGATAGACAAATGAGTTGGGAATTCTACGTCTTTTCCTATCAAGCTTTAGCCAAAACCAGTAGTTCTCTAGTCTTGACGCGCAAACTTTGGTCATACTGTTGTAGGTGCGGCAGATCAAAAAGTATCGGAACATTCCGAGGTCAACGAATGTTTAAACAATTTATTTTCTACAGAAGTTAATGTTGCAAAGCTTGGTAGATAAATGAGGTGTATCAATCGTATGCTGCGCAGTTGACCGTCGTATTGGTATCAAATGCAGCACCGCCTATTGATTGGAGAAGGTTTAAAAATTATGCCTGTATCGTGAAACCGTTTGGCACACCTCGTAGGCTTTAACCGTTTTTAATGTGCTAAATAATAAGGAAATTAAAGAATTATAAATGCCTATCCGTTTGAATTAAATGAAGGCCTCTTCCAGTGGATTAAAAAGGGACTGTATGGTGGAAGAAATCTAACTTGGTGGTCAACATGTAACTGCGCATCCAAAGGTCTCTGATGAAAGCACGCATTAGCAAGGATAAAAACATCTGGAACAGCCGGTTGCTCAGTAGCGATTAATGCAGAGCAACTTGATAGAAACTCATTGAAAAAATGCAAATTAACATTCATATTTAAAAAAACTGGTGAGAGACGAACATACTATTATGTTCAAGTTGGGAGTGTTTTGCTGGATGGGAGGCTTCGAAAAGCTGTAGAGTTCCCTTTGGACCAGCCACAGCTGCGACAGTGCCATATGTTGCAGTTGGTTTCGTCAATAGCAACCGATCAATCTGTCTTGTTGATCGATAGACCCGGGAAGCCTATCTCCATTCTTTCCGAAAACTGCCTCAAAGTGGTGCTAGGGTTTTCATTGACATCACACAAATGTTTTGTTAACTCGTCAATGAATTTCGCATCTTTAGATCGAGGTATGAATGCTACTTCCCGATCTGAGGCTGCAATAGCAAAATATGTTTTGATCATAATATAGAAATATTCGACAGCTTCTTTCAAATCATCACCTCTGCGGATAAATTCAATTACTCTCCGTCGGTCTTCCTCGCTGGTGGAGCGATATATAGTGTTTTCTGTTCATCCGATTTAATGTTCTCCATATTTCAGATGAGTATAACGCTAGACAAGGTGTAGTAAACATTACTGCCGCCTTTCTTAGCCCCATCATCGGCTAATAGAATGCCGCATGACGGCACTACGACGGATATCTAAAACACCATTTCGCCTGCCCGCCGAGCTTGGCAATTTATTTGCAAATGCTTCATTACCAGCCCAGGTGAAATCATCAGTGTTTGTGAAGTGGCAGTCTTCTGCCTGTATCCGTTCGTAATGGAGACGGATAAGGATAAAAAACTGGCTTTTTTGGACATTTTGATCATCAGAACGTCATCAGGAAAACTGGAGACAACGGTCTACCGTAAAGCAACGCATACGGATCAGATTCTAAACTTCAAAAGTAATCATCCACACAGCCACAAAAGATGCTGTGTTAGAACCTTATTCGGAAGAATCCAAACACACTGCAGCACCGATATACTCAAGAAGAAAGATATCTCCTCAGAGTATTTGCTCGCAACGGCTACACCCGCAACTTCATCAAAAGAACTCTAACCCAAAGAAAGAAAGAAACAACAGACGGAGAATCGGGAACAAGAACGACCCTGCCGTACATCAAGGACGTTTCGGAAATGACAGCAAGACTGCTCAGATGATTTGGAATCCAAATCGACCACAAACCTACCGCCTGTCTAAGGAGACTTCTGTCAAAACCAAAGGAAAGAACAATGTAGAAGGACAAGAGCAGTGTTATCTATAAAATAAACTGCAAGAACTGTTCAAAACACTACATCGGACAAACTGGGAGAAAACTGTCAACAAGGATCGGTGAACACCGAGCGGCAGTCAGGAGACATGACCCACTATCTTTGATTTCCCTCCACGAAGATCAAGAAGGACATCAGTTTGACTTCGCTTCAGTGAAAATTATCGACCAAGCCCGGTCAAAACACGCCAGAGAATTTCTTGAAGCTTGGCAATCCTCAATCAGCAGGCACATTAAACTGGATCACGTGTACACGCCAATGCAACTCAGGGATCAAATGACGCAACAAAAAAGGTCACGCTGTGACCTGAGAACGGGCCGAAACCGCAATCAGGACAGATGGACAATCACCTCCCCTACCAACCTCACCCCCAAGCACCAGTCGAAACACAATGAGAACAATGGACAAAATTGGTCGGTGGAGAAGAACACATAAACGAACGGACACAAGCAGAAAACTGCCACTTCACAAACACTGATGATGTCACCTGGGCTGGTAATGAAACGTTTGCAAACAAATTGCCAAGCTCGGCGAGCAGGCGAAATGGAATTCAGTCACCCGAGCTACGAGAACCGACTTTCAATATCTAAGATACGCTAATCCTATGATTAAAAGTTTCAAAGGAAACATAAGCGGTTAATTGTTTTACGTTCACAAGCCCTGAAATAAATCAAAAAGTGACACCATAAAAAGTGAATGTTTACGTTCCCTATCTCCACTTAAGGCGAAAAGGAGCTATCCGAGTTCCCACTAAACAATGCCACTAGTTATTGAACCAATTTTCGCTTATCATGTCGTGGAATCAGAGCAAAAAGGTAGCAGCTGGTCTGCAGAGTCGACGTTCACCTAGCCTAGATGCCCCCCCCCCCCCCAGAGTGCATGAGGTAAGCGCAATACGTGTGTTTGAGTTGATGAATACCATCCGGGCAGTCTGGCCAAGAGACCGCCATGGTGTTACCTGATCGCTTATCATGAACGGTTCATAAAAGGCTCGGAAGGTAATGATGGAACTACACACTCCGGCGCAAATCATATGATTAAGTCACAACTGTCACACACGCATTAAACACCATTTGGCGGAGAAAAACAACCCCCCATATTGTTAGGACGACGCCAATTCTGAAGGTGTGAAACTTAACTAACCCGTGTCTCTAAACAACGAAAATGATCATCACTTGGTCCTAACCAGGAAGACGGGTGGTACCATATGAAATCAATGTTGAAACTAACTGCACCATACTCCCAATGCCAATTCACGTAGGATCTGACAAACAAGTCAGTTCTTTCAGTTTTTTCACAGCACATTCGAAAAAAAGGAAATATCTCAGATGGGCATGTATATACAAAACATGCCTGCATAATTGAAGGTGAGTGATATAGAGAGATTTCGTCTATCACTTACTGAGATTCTCTATTTCCTCTTCGACTCTACTTTCACATTTTCTGTCTTTCTCCAATTGCTTCATCCAAATGGGTAGCCAAAAGACAGCAACCAAAACGGCCGCACGAAAGTGGATGGTTAATAAACGCACAAACGAAAAATGAGGTAATTAAGATATCCAATTATTTTCCGCGGATCATCAGGAGGTTGAAAGAAGACAAATTTCTGCTAGTGTTTTGTGAGTGCTCTAAATTTGTATGACACAAAGCATATACACCATTTGGATACCGGGGGTCGTCAAGTGGTTCCAAGTGTGTTGAACTGCTGCACATTTTCACTCAACTAACGCTATTTGGTTCAATTAAGGTTATCATGATCATCTTTATCCTTCGCATTATTTTTTCCCTTCAACAACAGAGGAAAATTAAGATGAATAAAGCTTCTAGTTTGGCCGCATTATCACCCACGGTTCTTTAGCCTGGCGGCACAAATGTTAGTCAAAGCGCTGTAGGCGAGCCAGATAAAAATTATCGGAATATTCTAAGGTCAACGTTTAGTGAAACATTTTATTTTCTAAAAATGTTGATATTGCCCAGCTTGGTTAAGAAATGAGGAGTGTCGGGTGCACGTTGCACCCCATGTTGTTTGAAGAGCTTTTAAAACGATGTGCCCGTCTCATCAAACCATTTGGCACATCTCGTACAGCTTCAGTGTCTCCGTATAACATGCGATACTCCGGTGAGTAAAAATCTCAAGTGTAACACAAACGGCACATTATTTTGCATTCACAAGTGAATTCTGCCGATGAGAGGTGGATACATAAACATGCCGAGGATAATTAGATACCGTTCACAAAAATATACCCCATCACTATCATCAGTTTATTACCGATGCAAAATTTGACATAATTACCACGGTCGGGGATTCAGAATTACGGATTTTGTTCGGACGGCGTGCTAAAGGGTGTCTTTTGTGAACAGTGCTTATTATCCTCGGACTGTTAATGTGTCCACATCTTACAAACGGAGAACACTTTAGGTGGAGATGCGGAAAACTAAGCATCTACTTTTTGTTGTACCCCTTTTTTTATTTATTTCAGGGCTTATGAGCGCAAAACTATGTGCCGTTTTTGTAACATGCGGAATTTTCACTTACAGGAGTATCGCATGTTATACGGAACCACTGAAGCTGTATGAGACGTGCCAAATGGTTTGACGGTATGGGCACATCGGTTAAACCTCCCCCAGTTAACATGTGCTGCAGCGTGTGACCGTCACATCCCATTTCCTAACCAAGCTCTGCAACATCAACATTTGTAAAAAATAATTTAAAAAAAAACATTTTTGACCTCAGAATAGTCCGATACGTTTTATCTGACTCGTCTACAGCGGTATGACTAAAGTTCGTGCGTCGAGGCTAAAGGACTACGGGTCATGGTTAAAGTATTGAGGGTTTTGGCTATGCTTGATGGGAGAAGATGTAGCATCCTAAATGGCTGTCTAGCAAGTATAAAAATGCCTGGCATTAGAAGTGACAAAAGGAATTGGGAATTACCGTTCCATTGCCTGCATATTAGTCACGAGCAAATTTTTTGAGGGTATCTGGCTACCGTAGGCTGTCACAGAATCTGCCGAAGATAAAATGCATAAATTAGCATATCGCCCTACACTTTGAACCGCTGCTTATCTTTTTCACTCAATACTTTCCGATGTGGAAAAGAAATGTTAGACGGTCAGAATGATGTTCTCAGACTACAGAAACGGATTCCCTTTTTTTTACGATCGATTGGTATTGCTCAGTCTGCCAACCGAAGCTGGGGTGAATCCAAACGTTTGCAAAGTGATCCACGATTATCCCATAGTTTGAAGGCATTCCACGTGCTTCAACGACAAAAAGTCTATTCGCCCTACTGTAAATTTTATGTACACAGCATCAGTCCACTTTGAATCTCAGTCCTTAAAACTGAGTGTTGAGAACTTGTTGTTGTTTCAGACAGTAATTTCATTTTTAATCATGTCCGTCCGTTTTGTAAACAGACGAATAAGATACTCCTGACCAGATCACTCTGAACGTTGAATTTCCACCGTAAAAAGCGTCCGTAATACGGGATATTGTCTGAAGCGAACGGCAATATAATGACAGTCACGTTTCACCGTAGACTGGGGGCCGAACAAGGGTAAAAGCAAGATGAAAATCACTGATCCCTGAATCAGCCAGTGCCAAGGGATTTAATCTTGAGGACAATATGACTCTTTGGCACGACTCATTGAATGCGATCTATATCGATCGGACGGATGACAGGTGGAGGCCCCCCCCCCGAGGCTGGTGGTGCATGACGAACGGTTGATTCGTAAACGCATTCGAGAACACATGTGAACACGTAGAACGGAGTGCGTACAGGTACGCACGTACGCACACAAGCACGCGTGGTGTCACGTGCACGAGTGTGATATGCACAGTTCTGTCAGTGTGGCCTAAAACCATCTGAGTATGGTAATCCGATCGATATCAGCTGACTACGAGATAAAGCCAACAATGCAGATCAAACAGACGTAACTAACAGTCTTTCGGTACAAGATCGGCGTTGAGGAATTTGTATCGAATACAAAATTGGGGCATCCTTAACTTGATAAGGTACTGAACATGTCAGTGAACAGTATGCGTACAGTTTCGATCATAGCCGAAAGTAAATTTGATCATGATCGAATCTGATATCTACGCGAATGCGGACAAGTGGAGCTATCACATCAACCAAATGTGGTCGAAGAAAAACAAGTTCGGTGCACATCCCACGTTATATCGTTCGATTGGAATTGGAAGATAACAAACCCAGTAACCACATCGTACACGGCTCTCACTAGGCAAATAGATTTGTTCAAATTATGTTGTTTGGTAGATTACAGAAGAAAACTGTTTCACGTTTAAATTGTGAAGAGATCAGTTGCGTCGATGGGATTCGAACCCACGCATGGACACCGTAGACACGTAGTTTATCTGGTAGAGAATGTGCTGTACCAAAGCTTAGGTCATGTCCATGTGTAGGCTCGAATCTGACAGAAGCTACTGATTCTCTGCAAAATTCAAACATGGGTGAAAGTTAGCGCCTGAATAGCGGTGAAAAGTTTGCAACATAACGGCCGAACTTGCCAGATAAGTGAACACCATGAACGGGCAATACATGACAATCTATGAGTTCTGGAATTTATATCGTGGTGTAATGCGATGGAATCAATACTTACAATGCCTCCACGCGGAGCTTTCGAGTAGGGATCGGCAGACGGAGCAACCAGTAGAACTACTTGACCACGTAAGGAGCCCTGGAAAGTTGGAAGAAGTAATCGAACACAGTTCGGATGAGACGTCGAAACCACCAAAACAACGACAACAACAACAACAACAACAACAACAAGATTAATAACAACAGCAGAAACCACCTTCGAACAGAACCACGTGCGTGAATGAACAAAAGTGAGCAGCCGAGGTCATTGTATGTCCCGAAGGCATAAAATGCTCACCAAAGTAACAGAGACACCAGGATATTTCGTCCAGCCACAGTAATCGGAACACTGCAAGGGTTATTATTTATGCAGCGATCACCGAAACCATGGCCAACGAGGAGGCGAAAATGTTTGGCATCTGAATCAACATGAAAAATATCATTCACGAATGTATCCAAGTAAGATGAAACGAAATATGCATGGGGACAGTGCAGTTGAGTATAAATAGTCTCTCTTTTGTTCCAAAGCAAACTGGGACGCTAATATTTTCCCCTTTCGGCACTCAGAGTGATCCTTAGTTTAGTAAGAATGAACTTTGAGTATTGGTTCACTCGCTAAAACAACAATCCTCACAGGTTCCTACCGTGTTTGAGGTCAGGTAGAGTAGCTAGCCGCTCTTTGGTCTAATTGCACTGGCCTTATGAAAAGAGGACATTCTATTCCCTTTCGTTAGGATGAACAGCAAAAGAAAACGAGCAGAAGTGTACAGGTTGTCGCATTTTGGGTACCCTATAGGATTGCCAAATGATCCAAAATGGCTGAGGAAAACACAACCCAGACCACGACCGGTTGCTGATAATAATAGTGCCAAATACGACTGCATATTCTTTCTGGTGCTGTGCAAAGAGTAATGTGAATTATCTAAGCCGTTCAGGTTAAATTTTGCTTCATCTTTTAATACAACAACAAAGAGCTACTTATTATGTCTTTTTGTTCAATTGTGGCTATAAAAATAGAACAAACGACGAAAGTGCGAAGTGTATTAGTTTAGGACAGAATAACAGAGGGGAACCACAACACCCGTCAATAGTTGGATTGGAATCCACGATTACGACTAGCTACCGCTTAGAGATGGGACTTGGCATTGAAGGTCGTGGGACGTGAAGTGGCAAACCCCCAAAAAAACCCAATAGGATGGGTCGGATGGTCGCAAACCTAGATAGTAGTGCTAGGATGCGAACCATGGACCCAAAGTGCGCCAGTGAGAGCAAACTAAGTAGTTTGACGAACAGCACTACCCATTTACGTGCTTTCTTTCATAACTCAATGTCTAAGTTGAAACTAAACTGATGACTTCTTCCTGGTATCTAAGAGATTTCCACGCTCGCGAAGAGTTAGTTGATAAAAAAACTGCGAAAAGTGCACTAAATCGATCGCAAGTTGATTTTTAAACTGATCCTTTAAGAAAGTTCCAGATTTCAATTTTCTCTCACGTATGTGTGAATCCTGGATCATCATTATAACAATTCAACCTCCAAGCGCTCGAACTAACCATTGATAAGCGTGATTTAAGCCAGTGACCATGTGGTTAAAATCACCGCAGTAGCCACACAGGGTTTCAGGTACAAACCTCACTGCAATCATTTCATTTCGGTTTTGGAATTCGCTGCTTTCGCTCAACACAATAAGGAACCTTATTTTAGTCTAACACTTTAGGCCTTGGGGACCAGGTTGATGATTTTAAGACTAGGCAACAGGAAGCATGCTGCGACGTGTGTCTAAAGCAATCTCACTCACTAACCCACACATCAATTCTGAGTTTCAGTTGCTTCCCTGGCTCAACCTGACCTTATCCAGTCACATTTAACTTTGGTTTGTACTCGCGCGTTATACTGACCATGTGCTTTTGACCCTACTGGGTGATATGTTGTGATGGGCATCACCGGGATTTCGCATTTATTTCACGATGAATTTTTGATCCGTTGCTATTGAATTTGATTTGGACTGATTATCAACCTTTAAATTTATCTTCAAGCACAATCATCCGCTCATCCAGTCAACCATGCACTCCGAAAACAGTAGATTCACACTTCGCTCTTGTTAGAGCTCATCAGTAGTGCAGCTGTACCGTTCCGTTCAAGTGCTGTACTCCAGACACCACGTGGAAAGTGTCCGTGCTACCACTGTGCCAACCAGTTTAAACCGGGGCAGAACCGAATTGCTAATTCATGTGTGTTTAAGTGTCATCTTTAGAGATGGTCAGACATTCCTTTTGACCCGACAGGTACGAAGAGAGAGATAGTATTACCATCACTAACTCGTGCATTAAGATCAATTTTGAAGGATAATCAGTTCAAATTACTCACAGCACTACTCAAAAGCAGCTGACTTAAATCGGTATCAACATTTTACTGCCATTTTCGGCAAAATTACACACAAGTCCAATGCCAGTATTTGCTCGTCTTCAACACAGTGAAAAGGAGAACGAAAGAACAAAGTGTTATATCCTGTAGTCTAAAGATTTGCTTAGTTAAAATCAAACGGCTCTTTTGGATTAACAAAACGGCGGGACAACAGCGAAAATCAGTTGGTAAGGTAGTTCAAAGTTCCAATCCTCACGGTGATTTAGCGAAACGACTGGTCGTCTAAATCTGACAGGCATCAAGGTGGCACTGGAGTAGAGAAGTTATTCTTGACTCGACTAGGTTGTTCTGAGCTCTCTCGTCCTCCTTTGTCTATCAAGGAACTCTGTTAGAAAACCGCCTGGATAACTTCCAAACAGTAAGTCAACCAATATCCCAACTACACAACTACAAAGTTTAATTTATAAGAAGATTCACACACACACACACACACACACACACACACACACACACACACACGGTTATCGGCCTTCATGAGAATCGCTTACCAAAATTTCAGTGACAGTATTCAAATCCTTTCCCAATAGTTCAATTCCGTTAGCGGACAACAGTTCGTCACCTTCATGGAGAAGAGCTACAACACAAAGGAAAAGACCAATGTTGTGAATGAATGAACGACTACAGCAAGTGGAGAAACGCTTTATGCACCCGGAGGGGGAATTCTCAACAAATTATGAATGTATACAGTGGATATGCATAGATATTTAGCTACCCCGTTCCTCGAAATAGACCGAATCCCAGTCCACCTTATATCTGGTATGCACTGAGTTTGGAAGCTACCGGCGAAGTTCACGTCACTGTATTGCACTGTACGATGATGATATATGGCGATCAAAAACCGAAATAAATTCGATGCTGCAGTACAAGAAGATTTGTTAATGCGAGAGTTTCTCCTTAAGGTGAATGGCAGTTGTCGTACGATTCAACAAGAGACGGGCTGAAGGTACGAACTGACGCCGTTTCTGTACGAGGGTTAACGTGCAGATATTTAGAGCAAGTTTGGGGATTTGACACAGCTTTCCGGATGCAGGCAGTGCGTCGAGAGGCTTTCATGATCATCCCAGTCTTACTCACTAGGGTAATTTCCAAGAACTATTTCCTTATGGTTAGAACCAGTAGTGGACAATCTCCATAATTTCTTTTCTTCCGAACAAGTCGTGGAGCGTAAAAATTACTCAAGTAGAAGCGCACGAAGGTCATTTATTACGTTTTGCGGATTGACAAGGAGAAGCGATAAACATATGGACGAATGGAATTGTGATAACAAGAAGGGAATAAGGAACTTTAAAACAAGCTCAAAGGGCGGATACGAACACGGCTCTATGCAGTAAACTATTATAAAGGATGTAAAACGCCTGTAAGTACAGAAGAGGGTAATTCGTTAGGTGCATCATTGTGTCTAGGAACAACATTATCTACAAGGATCACTCTAGGAAGTCCATTGTATTTGGATGGATGCTTTGGAGATTTCAGAATATTACTGTCTTTTGAAAGGGGCCAAGGAAAAATAACTGATGAACAATATAATCGGTGGGGAATGATGAAAACTTTCATAAACTTAAGGATGAACTTCTGTGATACATAAAGCATTTTTAGTCTCAGGGAGATAAATGATACTGCTCTAACCTTATAATACGTCTCGTGGACCATGACAGCTTATGAGTTGAAAACATTCCCAGATATTTCGCACTGGAGGGACTTGATGTGGAGTGATCGTTAACAAGGAGAGAGGGAAAACCGGTTCTTTAAGTGCAGTACAGCTCACCGAATCGTAATGGGAAAATCACATCAAGACATTTAAAGGTATTTATAATATTGATTGATTTGAACTGATTATCCTTCGGACTTCACCTTCACACACGATGCTCAGTTCATCGGTTCAACCATACACTCGGAAGCACTAGACTCGAGTTTCGCTCTTATTAGAGCTCATCAGTGGTTCATATCCACCGTCTGTCCGGGGTTTGAACTCCGGACCCATCGCACGGAAGGCGTCTGCGTTACCACTATGCCAACCAGCTCATAACATGACTGAACCAATTTGTCAATGCATGTTTATTCAGGCGTCATCTTCAGTGATAGTCCGTTCATTTGGCCCGACACAACGAGAATTGGACCGCCTAACGACTACATGAAGTCCCTTTTGAACTTCAGAGGATTCGCTGGGGCATGAAAGTTTACGGCTAAATACTACATCAAGGGCATATTTACACCCAATAAGTGTAGAATGAGTCGGAAGTTCACTGGCATATTGAAAAGAAAAACGCGGAAAGAATGGCATCTTGTATCACCGAAAATTTGTGATGGTACTGTGTGAACTGATTAGGATCAGTGAAATGATCACGTATGATTTGGCATATGCCTGGATTTGCATCTTTTTCTGAAAGTATTTTTATCAAAGTGGATCTGTCCAGACAACCAAAAGCATCCTTCTTTGGCTGCGATCAGCGAAGTTCGCTTCACTATATTTCGCTGTACGATGATGGTAATGATTCTTGTGGTCAAGTTATATAAGGCGCACGGTCTTAAACTTTCCATCCAATGAGGAGTATATGGAGTGTATCAAGCATGAGATGGCATCAAGTGTAGAGCTTGATTGTCTGTACCCAAACTGGAATCTTTCATTCATTATATCTACGGAAATGTCTCAAATACCATTAACATTACAGATGTACAGGCTATCAGGCGATATTCGCAAGGTACGTGGGAGTTGGTCAAGCAGGTCTCCAAATTTCAGGAATCTTACCACTGGACAAACAAGAATTGAAGACATCCATTAAAGAAACCACGAGGGAATCAACACAGTTTGAGCGCAACAGGAAACAGATGGTCAGGACCACTAGCCTTGCTTGTCCTCGTTGCATTTAGTTGTATGTCGACATGAGAAAGGTCAATTGATGATGGAAAACTAGTGATAGTGAAATATGGAAGGGAAACACTTTGAGTGCATTTACTGGGTGTATCTGAAAACTAAGGGAACAACGGTACTTTGCGCTCTGTACCGTTCGCAGATCATATGGTATCGGTATCGAATTACTCCGTCATTTTAACATTTGATTTGAGATCGATATGGTCAAAGAGAACTTTGAACTCATCACAGTTTTTGGGTTCACGTGTATGAAACGAAATTCAAGTAGACGCATGTTATATCCTATTAAATTTCACGTGCGTCTGAGTCCAGACGTGCGTCAAACAAATAACGGGAAAGAAAAATGTATAAAAAAGGTGATCACTTCATAATGTGCTTATGTGCGGAATATTACCAAGCTGTCTAAGACAAATAAGGGAACCTTTTTTAGAGGATTCACAGCCAGGGCCTTCGGTAAGCCTAACCCCGACCCAAAGGCAGCGGGGTGGTGCGTGCAACCGCAATTCATTAGGGATCAGTGTCAAACGTCCAAAGGACCACATTCGTTTCAATCAATCAGTGAAATCCGCTGGAAGCCCCGGAAGTTGGCAGTGAGGCTTTCTTGGCACAATCTAGTTAAAGCGATTGTCGCATTTTGCGACGTGCAAGGAATCTCAAGATGTCCATATCGAACAGCTGTATGAGCGGGTGTGGTTAGAAACAAAATTACTTTCGTTAAAACGCACTACGCGAATACCCAGTACATAGGACAACAGTCTGCGCGCTTTAGCGCGTAGAACATTGCTGATGTCGTTTTGAGAGATCGCTCGCTTACAGCCAACCAATAGGTGTTCAATCGGCAGGGAAATCGCATAGGCAGATCTCACAGAGGAACTAGAAGAGGTTGAGGCGCATCAGCTCGTGGGACGGATAAACAAAATTTGTACCGTCTCGTGGGAAACCCCAGCAGTTGAAGTCCGATTGTGCGAAGGAGACAACCAGCTGGACGTCATGATCATCACAACGAAGAAGTTCCATCTGAATCTTGAAAATCGTGAAATCGGAGACTGTTCACCCAAACCAATCTGCAATAGATACCGCTAGATACACATACAGTGTGGATGGCAATCACTTAGTGTCCCGAATGATGACCCTCTCTTCCCGTGAATTTTAAAAGACGGGAAACGAGTACAGGAAGCACGTTGGACTCTTGACTAAAGGAAGCGAGAAGCGATCTGTGTTAGCATTTCTTCCGGATCAATTATTCGTTAACACGAGGTTTGGTTCAGAAACAAATGTGTCAGTCGGGAAAACCTGCCCGATGTATTTTTGGCGGCGGAATGAGATAGGGTAGTGCTAGAAGGAATGCACTAGATAGGCAGTGCGTAAACATGATTGAACAAGTACTATGTACCGAATAAGCATTGAAATGAAACGTTTCCGTTCTATTTGTGACTTCAGAATTGCTTGTTGGATAACTTTGGTAAATCAGTTTATGCTCAATCGGGCAGCTTAACAATCCGAGTGGGAATCAATGATACTGCTACTATTGCATGACTCACAACGGCGATCATTCGCTAATGGACTATCAACTACGGAGAGCAAACAGTTAGTGTGAAGCATTGTGCATAGTGCTTGGGTTAATGATATTGCTGGCCCAGCGCATTCCTCCGAGTACTACCTCTGTCATTCCGTCACCGAAAAGATCAACTGCAAGTCTCACGTTGTATCGTTAGTACATTTTTTGTCTCACATAGTACCCTACACACTCTATACACCACTTGTTAAGTTGAGAAGTGGAGAATAGGGAAAAATCCAAAGAAAATATCCCCAGTATATTCAATCATCATCATCATCATCGTACAGCGAAATACAGTGAAGCGAACTTCACTGATTGCTGCGAAACTCGCAATGCATAGCTTATGTATGTATTGGGGTTTGATGGACGGGTACTGCTAGGGTGTCCAGCCATTAAGCAGAACGATTAGGGCTCTTGTCCAAAGCCTTTCGTTCTGATAAGAACCTAATTGCAAGGCAGCGTACGAAGCGAAGCGGAGGCCTATTTACTTAGATTGATTACTCCTCCACCATTTTTTACCGATTGAAAAGCAAATTCTTGACGAACCTCCAAACCTGGAAGACCAAGATACTGGACTTCGTCTGACCTCTACCCAGTAACCTACCAGATCTTCTAGATCTTCTCCTAGATCTTCTGTCATGATCAAAGCCATCCTGTGTAGCTCGTTGGGTTAGAAAGGTGCACAAGCAATCATATCACGTCAAGGTGCAGTCTCGTCGTGACGGCATGAGGGTATGAAAACCCTAACAACGAGACTGGGTCACATAGGTCCCGTTATGCTCCCTGGCTGGGAACCCCAAAATGATGCTCACCGGTGTTCAGAGACACTGAACGATATGGTTGGGCGTCGCAAACAGTGGCGCTCAGGCATCTACTCATTGTTCTTGTAACTTCAGTCTATATAAATTCGCTATTCTCCGCTTGAATCTACTCTCAACATTATAATCTTCATTCTGCTCTTTCATCCAAATGGGCAACTAAAAGACAGAAACCAAAACCGGCACACGAAAGTGCATGGTGAATGGTTGTAAGAACTAAACTGAACTGATATCCAGTCGAGCCAGTGACCACTGACAACCGGGAAGTTATGGGTGAGTGTAGTTCTTACGCTTCTTCTTGGTTAGGCAGTGAGTAGGGCTTCCTCAGAAAAAGCTATTTGAGAAGCTTGATCGTATGGCAGCATTTCATGAGGTGCAAGGGAGGGGTTACCAGCCACAAACGGAGCTCATCAAATTAGACCTCCGGGCCAACATGGTAAAGCATATTGTTAAATACCACTACGGATGTCTTCCTTCGTAGTCTAACAATCCATTCCATACATTTGACAACTACGAATGACATATCGCTTTCGTAAACTAACCACGTTTTAGCGAACGAGCTATCCTGGTGAAATGCGAAATGGTACTGATAATATGCAGATCACTTCCTCTTGCTTCGGTCAAGAGTCCAACGTGTTTCCGTCATTCGAACAGTACACGCACGGTTCCGGTTTAAAAACACGTTAAAATTACCTGTAAGAAAGGGGTCATCATTCGGGGCAGTAGCTTAATTCCATCCATTTAGCGGCATACATTGTAGAGTGATTAGGACGAACAGTCTCCGAATTCACGGTTTTCGAGAAGGGATGGAACTTCTTGGTTGTGATGATCATGCCATCCAGCTAGTTGTCTCCTTCGCGTAATCCAACTTCAACCGCGGGGGGTTTCCCGCTTGACGGTATAACCTTCGTTGATCCGTTCCATCAATTGGTGTGCTTCAACCTCATATGAATGCCCACTATAGCTCCTCTGAGATCCGCTTATGCGATTTCCTTGCCGATTGAACACCTATTTGTTAACTGTACGCAAGCGAACTCTCAAAGCGGTAGCAGCAATGTCCCAGGCGCTAAAACGCACAGACCGTTATCCTGCGTGAAGATTATTTGCGTGGTGCATTCCTACTAAGAGAACGGATTATGTGATCTGTAGGCATCTCGCTAACATCGTGTGCATATTGCGGTATCCGTGGTACGATTAGTTCGGCCAGCGGGAGACAGATATATGTAAAACATACGGATACGTAAGCGTAACGCAAGCGGGTTAGATAACTCGTTGCGATCGGAGGCTCACAAGACTGTGTCAAGTCAAAACATTAGAATCCTATTCATACTTGAATAGAATGTTCGATAATTGTGTTTTGAGATGAACTGATCCAGAAATCGGTTCAGGGTTCGAAACGGACGTGGTCCTAGCTTGTTTGCTCTCGGAAGACAGGGTTCAGATGTTGAAAGAATGGTGAAACGGCTCGAGTGGACGTACAGACTATTCGAAAAAATTACAGGGCAGAATGAAGTGGTACCCGAATATGTTGGTTTCATACCGGGACCAATCGATTTGCAAACTGTATTCTGTGCAACACTGCCTTTTGTAACGAGTGGAATTCCTTCGTTTGAAATGCTGAATAGCCCTCCCCTCAGCATTTGACCTGGTGTTGCTCGGTTGCAAGTGAAAATGTGATGGAAGGTGTTGAGGAGGGATGGGGTGGGGTGGGAAGGTAAATGAGCGATGACACGTACCAGTTTTTTGAGCCAAACCACCGTTCACGATTCGGGCAATGATGATCGAGCGACGTTCAGAACGGACAGTGGCACCCTGGTTGGTTGAGTGGGACCAACCGATTCGGCAGCGGATGCGATGGATCAAGTTACAAGAGGTGAACGAGCGAATCCCAGATCGGAAATAGAAGGGGTAAAGATAAAATGTATGCTTAAATTGCACGGGATGTTTATCGTGGACTGTGTCTCACTTGGTACACAGCTGAATCAGTGCGAGTTGGCGATCCATATCAATCGGATGGCGAAAGAAAACGGTTAACAGCAATAACAGTTGACTTCTATTCAGGCGTTAAATCTAGATCTAAGGAAATCATTTACAATGTATGATAAAATGTTCGTGTTTTAGAGACCAAACATCACGAAGAACGGTGACCATTAAAAGAATTTTTCACCTTTTATTTCCAGCACGACTGATAAAATTCATCAAGTCTCGCGGTGACTATGAAAGGGTAGTATTAAGACAAGAGGGATAGCCTTAACACAGTAATTTTTGTGAAAAAATTCTTTGAGAGTCAGACTGGATCGCGCAAACGGTTGGTGCATCAGATGATCACCTTTTCAGACCTGGGTCCGAATCTCTGTGAATGCGATGGATTAGTACTGCTGATGATTTTTTACGAGGTTTCTCAGTGAAGGATAACATGTTGACTCTGTACGAGGGTGTACCTTGACGTGGTGTGATGGTTTGTGCACCTGTAAGACACAACGAGCTACACAGAACGGATTTTCTCTGGTCAAAGATCCAATCATGCTTGAGAGGTCAGAGGGTGGAGGTTACACAAAGTTCAGTCTCGTGATCCTCCAGATTGGTGGTTCGACTTAAATTGGCGTATCAGTTGGAGGAAAATGATGGAGGGGCAATTGATCCAAGTGAATGGGCCTCCAATTCGCTTTACTCGTTGCCTTGCGGTCAGATTCTTGTCGGAACTACAGGCTTTAGACGGAACTCTAATCGTTCTCCTGTTTAGTGGTTGGAATCCCTAGCAGTACCCGTTCATAAAGCTACAATGAACACAAATGAAAAATAATTCCATACTGCATCGATCGTCGTTCATGACAAATAGGACTCCGCCGCCCATTGCATCAAGCTAGGTGGGCTGCGACACAAACCGCCTAACCTTTAGCTTTTTGTCATCTGTACCCAACTCTCTCTCTATTTCCGTTCTTCCGACGAGTGAAATTTCATCAAACAACTTGTTGAGCAGTGGTCAAAGTTCGCTGCAAAATAGTATTGGAATTAGTTTAATATCAAATAAATTGCGGATTCTGAAGTTTCTTCATTCACTGAATCTAGAAGCCTTCAATGCGAGGACTCGGAATTCTCCATCTTTCGCTTGAATTTGCTTTCAACATTCCAATCTTTATTTTGCTCTTTTATCCAAATGGGGCACCGAAAGACAACAACCAAAACCGGCGCACGAAAACGTATGGTTAATGGTTATAAAAACTGAAACTGAACTGAACTCTGAGGTAGATAATTCAATGGACTCTGGAAACTGACGTCTGGTGCGTATCGGAGAACCCAATTCAGGATCCGAATATTATAAGCCACCTAAGGACGTTAGATTGATCCTCGAAGTATTTCCTACCCAAATCAGGCGTCAACGAAGATCATTTAGCGGTTGGAGACCCGCCCGCAGTTGTTTGTGTGCACGGTAGTTCCAGGGGTTAACCAGCGTCCGGAATGGAAGCAGCACTGAGGTGTTTATTTATCTTAACATAAGCGCCGGTCGACTGCCCCATTCAGTTCTGCGCAGACCACTCTCTCTTGCACTCCAGTATCATCTTCCGACATAGCTCTTGACGGACGGCAAAAAGGCGCTCTAATTCAATGGGCGCGCTAACTAAATCGACGACATAGCAACCAGCTACCGTTGGTTTGGCTGAGGACCTATTAGATCACCTGCCTTGAGTTTGATCACGCAATACTTTTGATACACTTCGCGCTCCGGATCACTGGTCACATACAAAACGTGCAAACTCGGCTGGTACATACATCATTGCTTGTCTGACCCAGGCGTTTAATCCCGCTATGAATGGGAGCTAGGGTAAACAAAGGGTGCTTCAGCATGGCAGTGTATATGAATAATGGAATGAAATAAGACGAGCACTAAATTCTGCAGCGAACGTTGCTTGTGGATTTGAGTACTAAGTCCGTCCAAGGTAATTGATATACCGTGAATGAGTAGCCCTGATGGAGAAAACAACAAGTCCCAACCGGACAAGATTCAAACAGGGGTAGGTGGAGTCTGCAACGTTAGCTCACGTAGAGCCTCAAGAAGGACCTTGGAAACTGCTGGGTAAAAATAACTAGCAAAATTGAATTGGCCCCTATATCAGCTAGGAGCCAAAGACTGCCCCAGATGAGGAAGTCGGTGAACCCCCGTTAATAAAAAAACTGCGATAAAAGTAGACATGTTATTCAAAGTAGGGAATAACGGCTGGACTGCCAGGCGGAGTATTTCAGCGAACAGTTCAGCTAGTCTGGATTATCTCGTTCATTGAAGCTGAAGCCACATGGGCAGTATCATGTGATTATCCCACAGAAGTAAATGTAAGATTTCGCAGTGAAATTCCGAAAGGAGGAACAGCAACAGGACCAAACTGGCATCTCCCTACTTTTTGGAAGATGCGGGAGGATGACCTCGTAGACTCCGTTACTGATTTACTGCATGACATCTAGTCGCAGGAGCACACTCCGTCAACTTGGGATTAAAACACTGATCGTTCCAATTTTCTAGAAAGGATCACATAATGACTGCGCAAACCACCGCGGGATCAGTTTGATCCGAATTGTAACCAGCCTATTAGCTTCCATCATGCATCGGCGTCCGAAGCCTTTGAAGGAGATGAATATTCGCGAACAGCAAGCAGGATTGCGACCAGGTCGCAGTTGTATCAATCAAAACTTCATGTTGCGTCAAGTACTCAAACTACATCATGTGTGTTATTGACCCACAACTACAGCGTTCCTTAACTTAAAAGGAGCTTTCGACTTAGTTGACCATGAAGCCACAACGAGTTTACATATTCGAAAAGAAATGCCCCAGAAGTATGTAAGCCCACCAAGGTGACGGCATTCGCACATTTCTAGTAGAATGAGGGTATACGGTGAGCTAAACAGATTGTTTGAGACCGACAGCGGTGTTCGTCAAGGATGCCCTACTTTACCACTCCTCCTCCTGTTCAGTTTCGTCGCAGACGAAATACTGAATGCTGAACGCAATGAGTGGTCTCCAAAACGGTGGTATTGAATGAACATTTGGAGAAAAGCTGTACGATTTATAGTACATTGACAACATCTTTTACCTTATCGAATGTATGTTGGACACACAAAGCGCACTTGACAGACTGGCCATGTCTGTTGTTCCATTCGGCATGCAATTTGCACCTTCAAATTCATGCTGCATAAATGCGTGCCGTCTACGTCTACTTTGATGCTTGATGGCCAGGAATTAGTCATAGCGGAGTGCTTCTCTTACTCTGGTAGTTGCGTGACCAATGACGGCAGGGCAATAAGAAGACAACTGCACGCATTTCTAAGACTGACGCAGCATGCACAGGATTGAATCACCTGTGGCGACGACGTTTCGCTGAATTCGAAAAGTTGCGTTTATGGTACCACAGTTCGGTCAGTTCTGCTCTTTGGTTCTGAGATTTTGAAGTTGCTAGTAGAAGGCATTCATCGTCTGGAGGCTCTCAACAATCGATGCCTACATATCCTGACCCAGGTGTAATGGTGTGAGTGTATCGGTAACCCAGAGGTAAGCTGTCCTGTGTTTGGGAATTTCCTGATTAAAAATTGGTTGTCGTATCGAATTCAGCTCAATAGGGTTCGCTGGTTAGGATACATATGGTGTATATCCGGGTGTTCTGCCACACTGTGCCTTATTCGCTGCTGCCTCTGGGAGCTGGGAGATGATGTGGAAACGAGGCACGTAGGATAGTTGTCTCAAGTCGTCCACACTGGGGTCTGAGACACCACAACTGGTTGGTTGGCAACGAACGGACTGCAATCTTGCTCTTGTTGTCACTTATCACTTTACAGGCCAAAATACCTGAAAAGTTGTACTTGCATAGTGAGTGTATACTCTGTATGTTGACCATAGAGGTTCCTCTAAATAGACCCAATTCCTGTCCACCTCAAACATGCTCCCTTACCTTGTATGCATTGTGAAATTGGCAGCAATCATTGAAGTTCGTTTTATTGTATTTCAGTGTAAGATGATGACTCCGCGGGAAGTGCGTATTTCATAAACGGAACGAATTTCCCTGAGAGCTTCATTTAAATTTTGCTTAAACGATACTGGCCTTATTTTTTTATATAGTCAAAAAGATTCATCTATTGTGGTACATCAGATGTGACATTTCAGTGAACTGATTGTATTCCCTAGTGGTTGTACATCAAACTGCGATAGTTTATATGAAAACTTGTCGTATGTGCATTGAGGCTTAACAGCGAAATACCGCTCAGGGGAACCCACACGAACGAAGGCGAGGTTTTATTTAGGAACTCAATAGTTTAGCTCTCAAGACAGTTGCTAGAACGCGGGGAAGTGAACGGACCTCTTTCAGACCTGTCACATAATACATTTCGGTCACAATGTTGTGTTTCGTTGATGCGACAGTTATCGATCGGTCATTCTGTATTCAGCGACAGATGTATGCATTCAGTGAGATAAGCATGAAAGGGTGGTAACTATCCAGTGACGTACGAGAAAAAGCTTAAAAAAATCCACCTATCGAGGGTAGTTCACCGCGTTTATATGCTAGACTAATATTTCCAGGAATCTGCAAAGCCAGCTGATACCCAATTAGCTACCCTTAATTGTTTGACCTTCTTCTGGACTATACTGATTGACCTTTCAGGGGTGATTGAATCTGAGACTGGGAAAATTCATCCTGTGTAGCTCGCCGCGTTGCAAAGCAATCACAGGACAGCACAGCAAGGTACAGTTTCCTCGGGACCGAAATCATAATAGTGAATTCACGGAATCGGATCAAGCGGAATACTTCAACGTTTATTCACCAAGTCCCAAATGACTGCAAATGAAATTCTAAACTATTTGTGTATTTGTAACTTGAAAGTTTAGTTTATTCAACTTCTTTAATTTGCACCTCTGGCTTGGTAGCACATAACCGAGAAAAGACAACGTCGAATCTTAGACCTCACCCACATCCACGGACGCTTCAACAAGAGCTTTTTAGACGAGATATTCCCGGAGATCCGAAATACAGAGAGAGAGAAGAGTGCGCGATGGATGGTGGTGTGAAATGTGTGTATTATTTCATGGGCATGTCAGTGTGATGAGATACCGTACTGCCCGTCCGCCGAAGCCAGAGTACGTGATTGGCCCCAAGGGTAACGCGTTCAGTCGAAAATGCAAGACACTGAGAGGCGGTGCTTTGCATTTTAACACTCGGTGTTTAGGTATCATTCTAATAAAATGAACAACTTACGAGAAATTCATTATCCCCTTTCTGAAGGACAACGTATTTGAGTCGAACACCCTGTTCGGAATAGGAATCCCGACCCTGCTCATCATAGGCCAGTTTGGCATAGCAACCGGGCACCACACTGTATTCGATGGTCGGATCCGGTTCCGCAACAGGCGCAGATTTGCCGGTACCCAACTCGTCCGCATCGGCTTCGTTCGCCGCGTCTTCTGCA